GGGGAAGGAAGGGAAGGGCCATTTACTCCACTGATTTAACTAAAACGCAAATAAAGATTCAATGTATTTACTACAGATGTAATTTTAATCCTTGTGAGAAAGCAGTCTTTTCCATCAAAGTGTATGTCACCATTTTAATTACCTGCATTGTCTGTAGTTCTGGGTTCTTCTTCTGGAATCTTTGCTAAAGCCCCTTTGCCTGCGAAAATTGCCCACCACGCTGTGTATCTTAACCCCTCCTCCAAGTTAGTATAAAATTCCAGCCAACTGAGAAGACTGTGAACTTTTGATCTGGACCAACCCAGGTCAAGAGGCAGGATCAGTCACATCAGAAATATAAGGAGGGATAGACTGCCCTGCCCCTTTGTGCATGCTGTGCCCATGTGCCGGAGCACCCTTCTGCAGAAGTAAATTTTGCCTTGCTGAGACAATTCTCCATTTCTGTGCCTTCAACTGTGACTCCAGTGGTCTTTGGGGGTCTTATTTCTAATATCCAGACCAAGAGATACCTTTTTAAAGAGTTTTCTACTTAAAAGTGGAATTGAATTAGAGTCATATAGACCAAGTTACTCAAATTAACTTGTTTATCTAAAAAGTGGACTTCCAGGCTTGTTCAGTTGCTACAAACCAAACACAATCCTAATCACCAAAGAACAATGTATATAGTAGTTATTTTAGACATAATTATGAGAACTGAGGTCTTCTGTCATAAATTCTTACTCAGAGAAGTGAGCAAATGGAACCTTCATACCACCTGAACATACAACCATGAACTTAAAAAGCAGCTCCAATATTTAGAACACATTTAAAACTATTTCTACACAAAAAAAATACAAGCTTTGCAAATATATATTTATCACCTGTTTTGTAGTGAATTAAATAATTGCTATACAAGTATGGCCTCTAAAAGTGAAATTATGTGAAAAAGCTATGGGTCGCAACATCAAACATGCACTTAATTTAAAACCAAAATCTTATAACTTCACTAAATAAATTTCCTAATTTAAATAAGGGAAGTCGAAGCAAGTATCTGTGATAACAGTTCATTATTTCATCTAAGCAAAAGAGTTTTTAGAACTTAACTTGTTTTGGGCCTAGCATGTAGCTCAGTAGTAGCTAGAGTGCTTGCATGTGGCACTGGGTTTGATCCCCAGCACCATTGGGGGAGGGGGGCTTGTTTCTATCTTCAGTCCCTAAAACTTCCAATTTAGCATTAAAAATGCTGATGGGGGCTGGAGGCATGGTTATAGTGGTAAAGCACTTGCCTAGCAAGTGCAAAGCCCCGAGTTCAAACCCAAGTTCCACCAAAAAATGCGGATGGGGAGGCTAAAGTTCAAAATAACTTGTTCTAATGTTTCTGCATAGCATAAGAAAAAGGGAAACAGGTAAAAATGAAGTAGTATCTATTTAAAATAAAAGGTTAGCAGTCAACTGAACTACTAGAATGAACACTTACTTTTCTATTAATATTCTATTAGAAGAATATCAATGCAGTGGAATAATTTTAAGACTAGTTGTGAATACACAACTCTAGCTTACTAACTGTCACTTTGCTAAATTACTGAATCCATCTTATTATCAATTCTCCTTAATGTATGTATCACATCCAATTTTGATCATTCTATAGCAGTATACCTTCATTTTCATTACCAATGTCAAACAAATCTTTCCACCATAAATTTGGATCTAAGAGCAAAAGGAATTATCAGACTAAACTGGGTTGGGATTTAGTAAATTTCAAAGGGTACTTTCAAGGAGTTAGATGAGTCTGGGACAAAGAGAAGTCTAATAAATTCTACTGATAATTCTGAATTTTGCTTTTTTTCTTGGTGGTACTGGGGTTTGAACTCAGGGCCTTGTGGTTTCTGATTTTTAAAATGAGAAGTTCTAGTGTAGTTTTAATCATGAAACTTTGATCTAAGACATAAACGTAAGAGTGGGCATACCTTCAAAATGAGTTAGGTGTAGCTCGCTAATTCTTATACCATGGAAGGGCCTTGAGGCTCAGAATTGTTAAAGGAAAAAACTGTAGAAGAAATAAACATGATGGGAACTAAAGATCCTAAAAATTCTAGGAGAGTTCAGTCCAAGCTCCTTTTCCTAAGGAAGGGAATGTCCAAGTTTTGTACCAGATACAAAATTCTGATGACCATTAGAAGTCCCTGCAGAGTACTTTAAAGTTGTAAAGCTGCAGAGGACAAATTTTTCTATTAAAAAAAAAAAAACACCAGTATTTGTGTTCCCAGGATAAAAAGAGAACACTAATTTTACAAGTAAATAAAATTTAAAGTAGGTCAAACTGTTTGTCTTCAGTGTTCCCTCCATTAACAACATTCTTTTCCAGAGTTACACTGACATTAACAATGGTATTTGTAAACAAACAAAAAAAGGAACTCAACTTAAGGTAGAGTTATTTTTAATCATTGGATACAGAAAGGAAATCAATACTTGCTGCAAAGTTGGAAGGTAGCTAGCATATTCTACAAATTATATTATTTCTTCAATTAAAAGATTATTGTGCAAATATAAAGAATCAAAAGATAAGGTGAGGAAGGAAAAGTCCAATTATTAAATTGTTGTTCTTTCCAGAGTAGACCAGAAGGCCTCCTTTTAAGAAAGACCACTCCACACATTCAAAACACATGACCCTGAGTAAATCAACAGTACTGTTCAGTACTACAATAATAACAACAATTATAATCACGATCCTCACAGAAACATACGTAATAGCAGCTACCACTTAATGAGTTAACAACACATGCCAAGCACAGTGCTAAATGCTTTATGTGGATTATTTCATTTCATCTTCCCCACAATTCCACTAGGTAGGAAGTATAAATATCCCTATTTTACAGATAAGAAAATTGAAATAAAAATTAACTTCCAATCCAGGCTCCTGTCTCCAGGTTGAAGCTCTTCAACATTACACTGTATACTATCATCATGATATACTAAGATTATGGTATCAAGGCTTTGTTCTTTTTCTGAAGTTACTATATTGCCAATTCCTCTTTTTCTGCTCAACAGCTTTGATGACAAAGCACACAAGTTCAAAATCAGTTAATTAGAAAAATTACAAATACATAATATCCAGAGAAATAAGAGGTATCTTATTCTATCAGTGTAGAAATGTTCACTTCCTTATCCTGTTTTCAAGAATGTTTGGAAACAAAATTTTAGTTGTTCCATAGGTTCCTATTATTTTTAAATACTCGTATTGTTTGGCAAATGGTAAAAGCAAAGCTAGATAAAATATGGAAAATATTCTATTAAATAAAGATTGAGAATTAAAGTAAGTTGTGCATTCTTTTAAAACATGAAACAAAGTATATCACAACAAAATGATTAGCATTAGCTTCATGAAAAGTCAGTTTACTGTTTGTCACCTTACCATCTTCCATACAGAACATTGTGTAAAACAGAAATTCCCTACAAAGTATTTTGTATTTCACTTTGATGCAAGAGGAGAGGAAAAAATGAGGAAGGAACCCAAAGAGTATAATGTGAAAAAAAACTCTATTTTTAGAGCCTCCAGACCTTTTAAGTAGTTCTATTCCTGGTTTTATCACTAACTGCTTGTTGAGGATGCTGGTAACATTAATTTTATTGAGTTTAGAATCTCTATAAGTCAACAAGTTGAATTAGATGATCTCTCAGGATCTTTTAGCTCTATGAGTCTATAATTCTAAGAGTCAAAGGCTTACTACTGATTGTTAGGCTGGATACCATGGAGTAAGTCAAAATTTACAGTGGAAAGACTATTTACTATCTTAGTCATGAGTCTGCAAACACCTGGTTGAGGATAAAATTTTTGCCATAGGGTATAAGATTAAAAAGAAAAAGACATTTTGCCCAAATATATCACAGTGTTCTATAGGCCTATAGATCTGCTCATTAGGCTACTCAGTTTTCACTTGTCCTGTCTATATTTTACATGTTAATCTCCAACAAAATAGAATCTCTACTGCATCACTACCCAAAGGAAAAATCAAATGCATATTTACAAACCAAAATGTTATGTGTATATATGTATATATATGTGTAATATATGTATACACATATACTAGGGCTTCATAAATGCTAGGTAAGTGCCATTTTTTTTTCATGGTACTGGAGTTTGAACTCAGGGCCTACACCTGGAGCCACTCCACCAGCCCGTTTTTTGTTTTGTTTTGTTTCGTTTTGTTTTGTTTTGTGCAGGCTTTTTTCGAGATAGGGTCTCTTAAACTGCCTACCCAGGCTGGCTTCAAACTGCAATCCTCCAGATCTCTACCTCCTGACTAGCAAGAATTACAGGCGTGAGCCACTGGTGCCTGGCCCCAATTTTTTTTTTAAGGGAAGAGCATAATTTTGTGTTTCAGGTTTTACGTAATTACAAATGTTCAGTGAACTAAATATCACCAACATTTTAGTTCTACCTTGTCAGGCTCTAAGTGGAAGTGAGACACATTATCAAGATCAGTTCCACACTACAAGAGATGGCAATAAGCTAGTCATCTAACACCTAGTCTGGTCAGTAATCATTAGCAAATTAATACTTGTAGAATGATGACTATAAGTTATAAGAAGTATTTTAATATATAGAGTATTAGCCATTTCAAATTAATCAATTTGGTCAAGGTGACACAGCTAGTGAATGGCAGGGTTAGGATTTAAAGGTAGGTGCTCATACTTCCAAGCCACTGCTCTTAGCATTCATTATACCATGCTGAACTTAAAAGACAATTCAAATAGTGACACAGCTATAGTGAATGAACTCTTAACAAATCATAGGAATGTAAGTCAAAAGCAATGTGGGGGAGAGAAGAGCTATAAATGACAGTCTTACCAGGACAACACCCTCCAAAAGAGTGTAAATCATTTACATCCTAGCCCAGGCAGTCAAGGGCAATTCAGGAAGCTTTAGGCAAGTGATAATTACTATGCTGCCTGGTAGGGATGAACCCAGGACTTGGGGAATGTTGGCAAATGCTCTACCACTGAGAAACACCACCCTCAGTCCAAAAATTATTACTTACATCACACTTTAAAGCTTAAAATATTATGCATAATCAACAGCGCTGTGAATCATAATGGAAGGCAAATGAACGAACTTTCAGCTATAACAAGACAAAATGACAGGCTTTTTAAAAAGTAAACTGCCTTTCAGGGAATAATTACCATAGTTAGTATATGATCTGTGTAAATGCATAACCATGTATACATATATAAATGCGCCAGCTTCCTCAGAAGCCTAAGAATGTGTGACTCACTCTGTGAACATCTATTAAGTTAACAAAAAAACTTACCTTAGATGAGACTATTCTATTATCACAAAATCTTTGCGCAATGTAAGCTTCTGTTTCTGAAACTGGATGATTGCCAACAAACACTGTGCGTGTACCAACTCGTTTCTCTTCTCCAGCACACTGACCAAGAGAAAGAGGGAAAAAAGTCAGCTTTTTATCACATTTTTTCATCCTTCTACCATGCTTAGAATTCTTACCTAAGAATGTTTGTCTATACTATGGGGAGAGTAGGAGCGAGAAGAGAAAACCTTGTTAGGAAATTGAAAATTCACTAAAGTAGTAGTAGCTGACTTAGAGGAGATTAGTAAAAAGTGTTGCTTGAACCAACTGTTCTGAGGCCAACAATGCAATTCTAAAATGATAAAAGAAAGCATCTGAATGAGTACAGAAAAACTCACCTTAAAACATGGCTCCCAATATGCTGACTATTTTAAATTAAAGGCTCTTGAAGAGCATTAGATACTACAAGTGGTTTTACACTGATACTCAGTTATATAGTCCCCAAAAGAAAGCAATTACCTCTGTTCCTTTCCCTATATTTTCATTAACTAAATTCATATCTGCAGAAAGGAAGATTAAAGTGCATAACCATGAGCTATATCTGTACAGAATTTGCTACAAGCTTTGTCCATCTTCCAAGGAGATTGGTTCAATGTCCAGAGAATCATTTATTAATCAGTGTCTAAGCAACGCACCACTTATTCACCTGAAATCATTTATTGCTCTCCAAATTGTCAAATTATCCATCTCCCCTTCCCCTATGAAGAAAGGTATATAAATATCTGGGCCTCACTGGGTTATGTGGGTAATCATAGTTCTGTGATTCTCCTAAAATACATGTTAATAAATTTGTGTCTCTTTTCAGTTAGTCTATCATCAATTTCAGGGAAACTCTGGAGGGTATCATAGAGAAACAATTACTGTTTTTTAATGCCAGTCATTTTTCTTTCTCTCACAATCCAAATGCACCTCAACCATCACCTTCACAGTAACATTAACTTACAAAACGTTGGACTAGGAATATTTCATTAATTATTTATTACACAACTATTGTCAACCACCTTACCAAAAAGCACAAGGCAAATTACTTCTAAATACAAAATAATTACATGAATATAGAGGTTAGAAATAAAATGGCTACTTCTATTAATAGAATGATCAACTATTTCTACAAAGAATCTGTGATTCTTTGGCTTTACAGGAAAGGATTTCCTTTGCAATCTCTCAGATCCTATTGTACTAAAGTCCCTTTTTTAAAATTGTTATTTTGCTAGCAATGTTTTATTTGTCCTTTTCCTCCAAACAGGATAGTATTCAGAAAAATAAGAGAGATAAAACAAACTCTAAGAGATTCTAATGCCACATGCTATAGGGGCATGAGCACGTACCCACAATGCACACACACACAAGTTCATGCCCAAACATACATTTTTAGAAGGTCATATAGTTCAAATTTCTTTTGCAAATGCAAATTTACAATTTATAATTGTATAAATTTGTAGTAAAAATGGACGATTATGACCTATGTCTATAATGTTGAAAAATTAAATCAACCTAATTCATACATCCATCACTTCAATATTTAACCCTTTTATGTGGTGAGAACTTTTGCAATTTACTCCTCTTAGCAATTTTGAGATGTTTAATACTCTTTTATTAAATACAATCACTATGATGCAATTGGACCAATAAAAGTTCCTTCTGTCTGAGATTTTGTGCTCTTGGACCATCTCTCCCCATTCCCCAGACTTTACAGTGTGTACACACAATAGAATAGGACGTTTCTTTAAAAAGAAAAACGTCATCTTTGAAAACTTTGATTGAATTTCAGAGTATTATGCTGGAGAAATATGTCATGCAGTGAAAGACATATATGGCATGTTCTCACATATTGATTCTAAACAACTGAGTGCATATAAACAGCATAAAATAATGGCTACTAAAGTCCCTTTTATACAACATATTTCTAATGCTCCTTTTACATTTTTTTAAAAGTAGATTCACTGAATCTAGAACTTCCAAGGTAAGGCTCTATTTTATCTTACTCTTTAATTTCACTGAGGCTTCACTCTTTGTTTTCTTAAAGCAGTATAATACATTTTCCTACATAAATTTGAGATGGTCACCTTAGATGTACTATACTATTATGTTTCAGACTATAAAACACTTAAGTCATAGGAAGCATAACAGAAACCAATATACATTTACATAGTCCTATTCTTTTTTTTAAGAGATAATTCATCAGCCTAAAATGTTTAAAATACACAGCCACAAAGATTTTCCTTCTTTTTTAATGATCTATTTAAAAGTCAAAGATACAAATCCTCATCCTCAAAATAATTTTAAACAAGACTACTCACAGCTTTCAAAATTTTCAATGTATCTACTATGTTAGATGTATTCTAGTCTGAATGTGTGTCCCATATTAATATTACATGGAACATTATTTACTTTAAAAAATAAAATTCACCCAAAATATAGACACAACCTCTTTGTTTTCTGGTTTTCACTTAAGCTTATGAAATAGTTACTTAGTGGGCATTCCCTTCAAAATTTGTAAAGAATCACTCAAAAAGTAACTTGGACAAATTGAAGTAGAAGAGAATTCAGGCACTATAAAAAGAGTAATTTGTGGAAAGTATGGGACCATGGCAATTCATAAGATCCCTTGAGATTTAGAAAAGTTAAGTATCTATGCGGGTAGATTAGCTATTTACCTGCCTGCCCAAAAACAGGGCATTAGAACAACTGGCTGTCCAAAATCATTTGTGTGCTAAAAGTGATATGCAGGTAAATTTTCAAACAGTTCCTGGAAATCAGTAAGCAATATCTTTACCAGAATTATAGCTTTGATTCAGGGACTGACTCCTCTGTTTGTAACTGTAACATACAGGTTCTGACACATCTTACTGATAAAAGCAATAAACTTCCCATAATATCCATTTTGCAAAACTTAAACTGAATGTGAATGCAAGATTTATACTGTATTTGGCTTTACCACTACTCCCACCTTCTGTTGCATTTTAAAGCTTCTTTGTAGTCTCCACAACAGACACAACCCTTACATGCACTAATTTCAATTACAGAAAATGTCAATTTGTAATCTTTAATATTCATATGGCCATTTAGTTTTACACACAAACAAGAAGTGGCTATATAGTAAGGAAGAACTACCTTTTATGCAAGTTCTCAGGTCATTCTACAAGAGGTCAGGAGAAGAAGGAAAGGAGCTAGAGGGTCAGTGAAGCAGCAGGATGCTTCTTGCACTGCCAATATAATTTCTCCCCTCAATTACAATGGCTACTGATTAGTTTAAAATAAAAGTGAGCTAGTACTTTCCCAATTCCAAGTGCCTTCAAGTTCTTTTGTGTCAAAGAATACAGGAGGAAAGAGCATAATTGTAATTTTCAGACATGAACTCCCTACATTTGAATGTATTTAGTTTACTGAGGGTTCCCTATACATTATTATCTCTCTGATCTCTTTTGCATAAGGCTTAAGTGACCTCTATCACCATAAACTGCAGAAAATGGATTGAAAATATTGTGCTGGTGTGTGTGTGTCCCCATGCCTGTATGCACACACATATCCTGGCAATGATCCTTGTTAAATGTAGAGGCTTGAAAGAAGCTGTAGAACGTACACTTCTTAGTATTTTTCCAAAATAGGGCTTAGGCTAGGCAGGTTTGAGTTTGGAGCTACAGGAGGACTGGGAATGTTGTGGATAAACCAGATGACTTTCCATGTCTGTTTCAGCTTAAAATGTGATGAACCTTCAGTATCTGGTGGAATTTCCTGCAACTGTATAATGTTGTTTGGGCCACATAGAAATGGCAGTTCTGAGCTCATATGTAAATTGACTGTGATTTTCTACTTGCTGCCAATATAGAGTATTAAAACAGTAGTGTTAGTTCCTGTGATTTTGAATAATGTATGTGCTTTTGCCAAGGCAGAGAAACTTTAAGTAGGAATCTTAAAAAAAAAAAATCCCATTTGGATGTCAGACAGCATAGTCGTGGAGTGGGAGTGTATGACTCCTTCCACCTCATAATGCATTTTAATTCATTAAGAGTCTATTCTGTGCTGGACTGATTCCCATCCAAATGTCCTTAGGAACAGCATTTTTTTAAAAACTTGAAATATGCTAGCACCAACTGTATTTTAATGACGCATCACATACTACATAAAAATTATCAAAAATATTAAAAAGGATGCTTAAAACATGAATAACAGAGAAAGAAATTAAGATAAAAATCACCCTCTTGTGATTTAATTTATACTTCCATAACATTAACTGAATATTGTTTTTAAAAAGCAAGTAATTTACACCAAAAAATAGCTCTCAATAAAACTCAGTAAAATGGTACTCCAAAACTATTACCATTTGTTTTTTGGCAGTACTGAGGTGAGAACTCAGGGATTCAGGCTTGCTAGGCAGGCACTCTACCACTTGAGCCACATCAACAGTCTCAACTATTACCATCTTAAAATTCCATGCCTTTGCTAGTCATAAAAAAATCTGAAAGCTGTTAGAAACATAATTTGTTTCTTGATTGCCTCCAGAGCCTCTACTACATTAAGAACTGAGAACAAGTAGTGACCTCAATACATGACCTTCACTATAAAAGCTGGCACAGGATATGAAGAAAAGCCTACCTACCTCCATCTTTTCCAGGTGCTGGCAGCCTTAAATGTATCACTTAACCATAGGTCCGTGACTCTTAATCCTGATCACACATCAGCTTTAAACTCATGTTTTCACCCAGGTCTTTTACTTAATATTTAATTTTTCTGGAAGCTCATCAGGTGACAAGTCTAACTTGCAACCAGGGCTGAGAATTACTGCCACAGACTCTCATTATTGTTAACTAACATCCCACAAGTTTTTAGTATACCAGTCAACCTGCATTTTTAAGTAAGATAATTTAAATAATTTGCTTTTCAATGGATAAAAATACAAATACTTTTCAAATATTCCCTCCAACCATTTTAAACTGCTCACAAAATTAAATTCTCCTTTGACACTTCATTTTGCATGTGGTTAATCTCCCATCAATTATTTAGATCCTTAATGAAAATTACAGGGCCTGATATAATGGCAAAGCTACTTGGTTTATCAGAAAATAATCTTAACTAATATTATCCTTCTCAATTGCAGTATCATTTTTATTGGTCATCAACTGTTCTGAGTTCCTATAGCAAATAAAAGTGAACAAAAAATCCTTCTTAAGACCTGAAAACTTGGCAATGATTTAAAATTGCTCACTCCCTAGCTCAAAGCTCTTTTCTTCTCTGAAACGCTAGTATTTTTTAACTGCACAGTCTCAAAAAAACCAAATGAACTCAAAATTTAAAGAAATACGGAACATTTCATCAAAATTTCAGGTGCCAATTTAAATTCCCCCGAGGTCAGATTACCATCCTAGGAGTTGGGGTCGGGGGATGGGGAGGAGAGCGCTGCAGTGCCAGGGAACATTTCCAGTGTATTAAGCTTCTTGGTTAAAATCACTACAATGTATTCAGTGGTCAATTTGCTGAGGTTTCTAAGACCACTTCTTTAAAGAAACCCAAGATGAATAAATCTGATGTGCAATTTAGTCATAACTCAAAAATGAGCCTTAAAATCACACTTTTCAGATTTTGCTTTTACTGCAACATCCTAAATGATTAAACTGTCTGTCTCTCTCCCCCATTCCTTTGTCAGAGGACGTAAAAAGCAAGACTGAGAAAGGACATTTTGTGTTCTTTTACCTTTAAAGCTTATACTCATATTTACTGAAATTCTTAAACATTTGACTAAAAGACAACTCAATACACAAAATTCTTTCCTAGAAACAAAGATTGTCTAATTAGACAGTACCTACTGGCTGTACATTTAATTGAATAAAAACTCTATAGGAAATAGATATTAAACTCCACACAAACACCTAAATCAGCAAACACCAAATTTGGCAAGCATAATACTTAGGAAACAACATTGACCATGACAACTTAGACAAGAGTAACACCTTGTTTAGAAGCTCATAGTTCGACATTCATTACATCAATGCAATTAACTGACCAGTTTAATTTCAACAGGGACAATCAATTCTAAGTGTCCCCAATCTGACTCCTCAACCCATCCATGTCCTTAGCCTAATGACCTCAGAATTATAAAACTATGACTTGAAAAATGCTAGCTTATAGAGTCAATGGGTCAAAAATGCTGTAAGCGATTTGTGATTCTAAAAGGGTTGTTTTAAGTGATTCAGAGGTTCTTCCAATTATAGATATTAACCTAACACTCTCAAAGTTCTTACTGGTACTCAAAATCTCAACTTTCCTTATTAACACTATCTTTCCAAATCTAGAGCCTGACAATGCACACAAGCCTACAAGGTCTCAAATTACTTTTTATACTTACTATCCGTATCTACAGACTTTCCCTTCCAAGCACATAACACACCATAAAACTCTAAATAAGGAGATACTTAAGATAGGAGCAACAGAACAGCTAACTGAAAGACAATTCAGCTAAGCATTTATGATTGCCCTCAGGAAATGGATAAAAATATACATGCAACTAAAAAGCAAAACAAAGAAGGCTGCAGGACCTCAAAGCAAGCATGGCTGAAAAGAAAAGCAGAATAAAATGTAGATTACAAACCTCAGAGGCTGGAGGGAAAGATAAGACCATCTGCATACTGACATGTGGAAATCTGCTAACAGGCTGCTAAATGGCAGAGAGAAGGCTGTATACTATCAAGCAACTTGTATCAATCCCTGTGAGCCTTACAAAGTTTCCCAGAACTTGGGAAGAGAGCCAACTGTGGTTTGAGGAGTTTGTGTACATCCACAGGAGGTGGAAAAGGAAGCATTAGACGACTTATTCTAAGCTGCTGAAACAGTCTAAGCAGCACTCTGGTGGCCTGGCCTCTATTATTGTACCATTGCACATCTTTTTGTTACTCTTCTCCTAAGATCTGAATTTGCCTTGGTAACTTTTGTATTTTAAAGTATCATTATTATAAAATATCATTATCTTGAACAGCATAGTATCCTCTCCTCATCTTGGTTAAGTTTTTTTTACTTTTTTTCCCCTAAGCACTAACTATGTAAGAGGTGCTCAAACTGCTTTTGCTGAAAAGCACTGACTCCTTCTTGAGTTCACAAGTTAACTAATAGCAAGAGAAAAGCATGGTATCTGTCCTCATTTTGCATCTGTCTTTGCTCTAAGACATTCTCTTTGAGGTCACTTTGCTATCACCTTGAATTGCAGGAAAGATAGTATCTTCATGACAAGGGACAGAAACTGTACCCAAAAGTAGTTTTTCCTTTGGATGGACTAGCTACTTGCCTGGCTCCAGATAACAACTCCACAGAACCTCTCCCAGAAAAAGGACTGAGATAATGACCAACAAGACCATACCTGAAACTGAACTGTTTAACTATGCATACCTTTTGTCCCCTACCCCCAGTTCTTTTGTCTGTATATAACTCATGTCTGTATCTAAAGATGGCTGAAAATGGTCTGAGTGCTTATTCTGCCTCTTCTCACAGCATGTCCTGAGCTGTGTAATAAACCTCCTTTCTCTGCCTTCACCATGCCTCTTTGTTTGGATTTTAGGGGCCAGTGGCCAGACCTGGCATATGGAATATCAGGAGTTTGGGCCCTGCATCCAAAACTCCAATTTCATCTACAATAAACAAACTATGATTTAAGAAGTAGGACTAAACATTGAACTTCTGAGGAAAGTTCAATTGAACTTTTGGTTGTAGATAGTTAAATAGTTTAAAAAGAAAAGATATATCTAGGTATTTGTTATGATACATTGAGTTTCTCCTCCCCAAGAGTAACTAATACTAAACATTGAGACTTCAAAAATATGCACAAAAATATATATAAGGCCTAAGCAGATGGATTCTTTGGAAGGATCCTTTAAGGCTGTAAGATTCTCCTTACCATATTTAAAGATCACATATTAAGTTTAAAAAAAGCTTTATATGTCAGCAGCAAACAGCAATATCTAATAATGGCAAACAAAAGAGCCTCTGGGTATGGGGAGGGGTATACCTTTACCAGTATCGTTATCTAGAAGAGATAAATTCTCATCCATAAATTACTTGGTAGATCTCCAGAGAAAAATTATTACAGTATAAAATGAGATAAGAAGCTCTGACTCGAGAAAAAAACAAAGAAATTGAAAAAGAGGTATCCGGTGGCCTGAACAGTGTTTTATTTCCTATTTCAGAGATAGTATCATAATTATAAAAGAGATAAGAAATTTCCTAGAAAGGTCTTCTGAGGCAGACAAGCAATAGAGATTTTGAGACTCTGGCTGGTACTAGGAGGCATGTTTTCCCAAGGCATTTCAAGCTAAACTCCTTATCTCAGCCCAATGCTATCCTTTGCAGTTGGCAAGTTATAAGACAGAAAGCCTTGAGGAAAATTCTGCCCTCAATTACCTCTTAGGCAATTGGTAATTGAGCCCTTTGCTTAAAACATGAATATTGATGGCACCTCACACGTGTAATTAAAATACCTGAGAGTTAGCATAAGTGCATATGCAGATTGCCCCATGTTGTATGACAAGACATTGTCAATCAAATCTGTCAATTACCCTAGCCCATTCTGCAACTACCACCCAGACTTCTGTCCCCCCACCTCGGGGGCCCCCACACCCCCATTTGCCCTTTCACTTTTTAAAGGCCCTTTGAAACAAAGACCCTCCTGTCTATTGCACTTGGCCTGGCTGGAGGCCCACCACTGCTTTCTCTGTGGTGCCTTCCCCTCACTGTCAATAAACTTTACTGCACTTTTATGTCCTGCCTGAATTCTTCTCATGCAAGACAGAAGTACCCAGAACTCTTCTGAACAGTGTTTAGTGACTACCTATCCAGGAATACTACCAGTTCAAATATATGCTGGAGCATGTCCAGTAAAAACAATGAATGCATTTTCCAGGTAAAAAAATATCATACAGAAAACAAACTAGTTAGGAGAAAAATGATCAAATTGTAAATGTAATTAATCTGAATAACACTTCTAGGCTATAATTGATTTTTTAACATCCCCAACAACAATAGGTAGGTAAAAAGCAAGTTTCTGGGTGGGGTTGTAACTCAGTGGTGCAGCACTTTCTCTAGTGCTTGCTTACTTGTCTAATAAGACCCTGGATTCAGTTCTCACTGGGAAGGGAAGGGAAGAGGGGAGAAGAAAGGAGGTTTTCATTGTAGGGAAGGGAGATCTGGGTTCCAACTCATAAAAAGGCAGCCAGTTCTTCAGTGAAGCATTCCTAGTCTTCCATTCAATCATAATATAGCCAACGTCTCTGCTCAATTTATTATTAAAGGTCTGTTCTTGAAAAACACATCTTCTCTACAGGGAAGTATTTAAGGACAAGGTTTGGAGGGGACAGGAGATGCAAGGAAGAAATGACCTTGGCAAATATTATTTGTACCTGTATTTTCTTCAACAAGAGATCTGAAGAAACTAGTTACTTGAGTTTCAACTTCCTTATCTTTAAAATAAGATCACATAACCTAAAAGTCTTCTTAAGGTAGGATTAACACAAATATTCACAGATCACCTTAAATGATTCTGAACTATTCACATGAACAAAGGATGAAGTTTGCATATGTTAACTGACTGTGGGCATATTAAAACTCCAGCAACTGGGCCAATAC